GCCCAGACTGCAGCCTGCACTTGCTTTGCAGCGTGTGTACCAACTCCTCGCAAGTTGACTGCTGGCCGGAGGGAGGTGAGCTGCCCGCTGAGGCCGCCCTGAGAGCCCGTCCCTGGATGCCTGGGCCGGGGGAGGGGGATGGGGGGGGTGTCTCCTCCGGGTCCTTCCCGCCCAGAGCCTCTCTGGTCTGGAGGCTCTGCCACCCACTGCGCTTCCCCGGGTGGCGAGCCCGTGACCCTCCTGGGATGCGGCTGTTTGGGCGGCCCTTAGGGTTCTGGGATGGCATTTGCAGGTTAATATAAAACAAGGGAACTAATAGCAAAATGTGTCTAATATCTGTCATGAGCTACACTTGGATAATTGGGTTGTTCCAGTAAGGGAACTGGATGGCATGGCACCTGATAGATCTACTTTTGCAAATATGTTAGTTTTTTTGATTATATAATGAGACAAGAATTTGCAGTTCAGTTGAAAATGCAGGGCTAGAATTCTAAAAGAAGGAGAAAATAGAACACTATAGCTTATAATCAACTAGCAAAATTATGGCATGGAAAAGTACTATACACTTTTCTGTACAATTTACGCCCAGCACAGGTGAGGCTCAGGGCCACCCCCTCACCTCGGGCCCCGCCTTCCCCAGCCCCTGAGCCGGCAGGGACGGCCCCTCTGGGGCAGGAGCGAGGCCGTGTGGCCGGGTCTCACCCTCTGCTCCCGGGCGGGAGGTGCCACACGCCTCTCGGCTCAGGGAATGGGTGTCCCCAGGGCCCAGCCTGGCCTGTGCCTGGACCGCACCCAGCCCGGGCCGCAGCGGAGGCACCGGGGGCATTTTCTAAATCCAGCCAGAAAGTACCCCTGTGGGTCAGAGGGAGCAGAGGCTGTCCTTCGAGGCCTGGGCATAGGGCCGGTGGAACCGCAGCCTCACCGCCCGCGGGAGGGACAGACAGCCACGGGAGAGGGAAACCCATGGGGGGGGAGGCAGAGCCTGGGTCTCCAACCGTGTAGTGATGGGTCTTCTTCCCGCTCCCGCAGTGTCGCCGCCCGCCTCCACGACTCCGAGTAAGTGTGTGGGCGCTGTCCCCGTGGGGCCGGGGTGGGGGGCATGGAGCGGCCCACCAGAGCCCTGGCCAAGTGGCCCTGAGCCCCCCTGGGCACCTGCTCTGAGGCCACAGATGGTCTAGGGGCTCATGCGAAGCACACGGCGAGCTCGGGGTGACATGTTGGTCAGGAGTCTCGACCAAGACTCTTCCGGGTGCTTCCTCCCTGGGATGGTGACCCTCCCTCCCTTCCTCCCTCCCTCCCTCCCTCCCTTCCTCCCTCCCTTTGTTGTTAATCCTCACCTGAGGATCTTTTCCCCATTGCTTTTC